AATTACACTTTTTTTTTTTTTTTAATTAACACCTTTTTGTAACGGCGCAAAATATATCATTTTAATTTTTTCTCTAGTTGGGTGTCTAGTGCTACCACTCCATCGTGTCCTTTTTTTTTTTTTTTTTTTTTTTTAATGATTCATTTTGTGTGGTTAAGGACGCAGTTCGTTAGACCTACATCTGTATACATGCACCCACTTAGACATGTACATGTGGTGTTGCTTCAACTCATTCGTTCTGTACACGGTGCTAGACACACCACGATATGCATGCGTACAAAGGCAGTTCCAACTTGGTAGTCCGTTGTGAAATCCTGCATGAACAAGTGTAGTGCATTGCCCTCCTTTGAAATGCTTTTGTTAAAATGCCTTTGCACCTTTTTTATGCTCAGCTTGTCTGTAGTTACACGTACACGTACACAAAATAGAAGTTTCGCTCGACATGCAGTTTATGCTCCCTTCCCCACTTCTTCACAATACATATATAGATTGACTTATTTTCCATTTGGGGAAAAATACGCCTGAACATGTGCAGGCGATTTTACAGTTGCTGTGCTATTGTGAAATTTATATTTGAGACGCGTCTTTATCGCATTTTTCCATCTGCGTGCTGTTACACATTCGGTCGATTCATGTGCTATTCAAATGTGCACACAAGGTGGACAGGTTACCAACCACACCAGGGCTATTCCCCTATATGTGATGTTTTGAATTGTTCCCCTCCTCTTTTTTCAATATACATGAACTACTTGGTGTGTCTTTTTTTCCCTGTTCATATTTTTATTAATTTTTTTCCCCCTACCTTGTAAAATCGTTTTACATGTAAGAGACGGTCTTATCGGAAGTGCCTCCTTTTTTTAAACCCCGCTGTGCATCCAACGATTATTAACATACCTTGTTAAATTTTTTTTTTTTTTTTTTTGAAAGCACAGCCGTTTCCTTTGCAGTGTGTACATACCGAGTTGGGGCCAACGGGAGAGGACGCTACGCGAACACGTGAAACGCACATGCACATGCTCACTTATACGTGAGTTTACCCGTGTCACCCGAACGGCGTACCCATACAACTCCTCCAGTGGTGCCCCCTCCTCCCCACCACTTTTTTCAAATCCCGTCTCTCCTTTTTTCAAAAGGTATATAAGAATCTGTTTTGAAAAATTCCCCCAAGTTAGACGTAGACAACACGTTTTGTGTATAACAGCTGAGCTCTTTTTTTTTTTTTTGCAGATTCTGCTTTTCTCCCTCGGGGGTCACATTTATGAAGTGAATAAGTCCCTTTGGGGCAATACCCTGTGCGAGATATTCATCAGTGCTCCACTTTGCTTACGACATAGAGACAACCTACGGGATAAAAAAAAAAAAAAATATATATATATATATATTGCATTGGTGAACAAATCTGTGTCCACCCACCAGGTCACACTCATGTAGCTATTCTTTTCCCACGCGCCTCCCCTCCCTCTGCCTGCTCAGAGTATAGTCCTCACTTTTGCGGCACTGTGTTGGGAGAAGTTACACAAATAACGAGTCTCTCCTGTTTGCATAACTTGCATGTGTATTTTTTTTTTTTTTTCTCGAGGGATCACTTTTCCAAGGGAGTTGTTTTTTCCCCGGCGAGCAGCATGCAGAAATTTTAAACAACTCGCTCGCTCGTTCGTTTATGAATCTACCAACCTCCGGTGATCTGCACCAAATTTTTTTATCCATTCCTGTGCATTCCTTTTTCGTCATTTATAAAAAAAATATTCGCTGTGGTTTATGTACTCCCAGTGATAATTTCTCTTTTTTTTTTTTTAATTCATCTCAGTTTTTTAATTACCCCTGTGGAGTGCCCGTCGTGTATATTCCACAAGGACCGCGTGAGTGTGCATGCGTGTATTACTTCTTTTACATGCACAAGTGGATTGTGGCCCATAGGTGTGAAAATAGCACCGATCGCATACGTTTCACCGTCAATTTTTTTTT